CGACTAGAGTGCAAAACATCCGGTGTTTACATCTTTTTGGAAGCTGTTTTATATATATATATATAAGAATTGGTTAAAAGAAAAAGAATTAAAATTTAGAAAATTCAAAATGTGTGGCGTGGTGATGTCATGTGGCGTTATGTGGTGTAGAGGAAACCAGAAGTACATCATGGGGAGCGAGCGAAGGGGGAGCATTGAGCCAAATCCAATTCCGTCACACTTTTTCTCAAGGCCAAAATCTGAAATCGTTGATTTACCCTTGCACATAACGCGCCGCGCCTACAGAAGTAAGTTCAAAAAAAGTTCATTTTTACGATACATCGCATGTCGAGACCCGACCCAATAGGTTCATTCAAGTAATGTCGATACCACTGATACAGGAACGAACGCTAAAGAAGAACACACCTATATTTTGATGAAGCGCCACCATCGACGGAAAGCTAAGGCAAACTGCCGAGGACCGAAAAGAGTTCACAGAGTCGAAGAGCTGCTCCGGACACTGACCCGTTCTTTCCGAGGGAGTCCGCCATTGTTGGCGCATGTTCATATCTGACGAGGACCACCGCAATCGGAAAACATCCAAGATGGTACGTAGCCTGGTTGCTCGGGCCGTGTGCACTTCAAGTTTCAGTTACCCAGGCCACTCGTTGGCCCCGGTATTTCGGTGCTCGGAGCCTCAGCTTGCCTAGGAAACCGCGCCAGACGCTCCGATTGCTTTTGATTGCGCAACTTGCTGCAAGGCTCCGGGCCCAATCCTCGTCTGCATCGCCGTCGTCTCCTAGCCTTGGGTCCTACGTCGTCCTCTTGGCTCGCCAGCACCCGGACCCGTAAGCCGTGACCACCACTGCATCCATTCTCAAAGGATATCTTCCAGATGTCTCCCAGCAGCTGCTGGTGGTACGGCTCGCGGACTCCGAGTCCTGCACGCACGACGGAGGACCGCAAGGCACGAAACAGCTACCTACGTGCAGGCCTCAAATGTTTCCCCGTATCCTCGGGCAGCAGACCATCTGCGAAACATTCCCCGACAAAAAGTAGCACGTGTTGGTGGCAGATGGTTGCGAGGCATAGAGACGGCCAAAGGCTCGCGTGGTGCCCCGAGAGGTTAAAACCGCCCAACGGAGAGAGTAACCGTTATAGGTGACCCCCAATGACAACGCCGATCAGCAGCTCATTTATAGAAAGAAAAGATTCAAAAGAAGATGGCTTAAAAATAAAGCAAAAAAGAAGATATATAAAGTGTCATACTTCCCGAAAAGTCAATTTCTATATCTAAAATCGCTGTGTTATGCTGAAAATCTAATCTACAAATTTTTAAATAATTTTATTGTATTGAACCGTTTGCGCACTGGGAAAAGTTGTGTTAAAAAAATCATTACAACTGTAATAAAAATTATTATATTGTATAGGCAAGCTGAGATATACTCGCCGTATTATAAAAAATAAGCATGCTACACAGTAAAACCAGATTATATTAAAATTTTTTACAGAAAATATATATGTAACGAACAGAAGATTCCGATAAATTGTTTTTTTGTGCATAGATATTTTTTTTCTTTAAAAATACAGATACCTACTAAAGTATTTTACAAATATTTTATTCAAAAAAAGATCTGCAGTGACTGGGAATTGAACCTGCGTCTTTTGTAGAGGTTTCCTGTAGACCACACTGTTAACAACGGATAATCAGTCGATTTAAAATTAATTGTCTGTACATATCAATTTTTAACCATTACAAATCAAAAAATATGTTTCTCGTCATTATTACATCAATATATCCTCAAATGAGGTAATCAATAGGCGTGTATACCTATAGATGTTGTATAAAATTACTTTTAAACATAGTTATTCTTACTCTATACTGAATAGCAATGCAGTGGAATGAGAAATTTCACTCTGTCACAGAGAAAATTTTACTTTAGAATGTGGGACCTTTGAAAACGATTACTATAAAATGTGAAATGTTGTATAGCAAAAATTGTACTATTACAATTTTTACTATGTTAGATATAGTGATTTTTATTATGCTGTGTAATTATTTTTGTATGGCTGCGACACAATAATAATTATTTTAAAAATAATAAAAATTAAAATGTAAAAATTTGCGTCATTAGGAGTTACGTTTTAGCTTTTCTGAAAAATATCGAAATTTTTAGTGTTATTATCCTTTTTTTAACACTCAAAAGATTACTTTTAGATAAACCTATCGAATTTGGTTGGTTTTCAAATGAATTTAGAAAGAGGGGATTAAAAGCATGTATGTGAGTATAACATCCATATGAGAAAAACAATTGCTAGCTTTACTGCACACATTAGCGTTTTCCTTTCACTTCTCTGAACTTTTCCCCCAGTAACTATGTGAAGAACGTCCTTAAGTCAAAAAATCACTAACCACAAATGGGAAAATTGTAAGCGAATAAAACACAATAGAAATTAATAATATTGTATTTGTACAGTACAAAAAAATTTTTTTGAATTTTTGAAAATGAAAAATTGTGTAAACAACTATGTATTTATTTTAATAGTAAAAAATTAATGATAAGTTAATAAATAATTAATAAATGTTTATTATTACATATATGAAAGCTGCTCTGCTTATCTATACTAATTTCGAAATTTTCGAAACATGTACCTAAAAAATAAATTTCATTAAATAAATTATTTATTTATTTAATGTACAATCAAACCAAATGAATTAATAAACAGTAAATAAAAATTTACATTAAAAATAAGCAACGAACTGTGCGACAAAATGAAGCAACCGACGCCCGTAAATCGGCCACGCTCATAGCAGGTTGGGTAAGGGCCTCGACTAGAGTGCAAAACATCCGGTGTTTACATCTTTTTGGAAGCTGTTTTATATATATATATATAAGAATTGGTTAAAAGAAAAAGAATTAAAATTTAGAAAATTCAAAATGTGTGGCGTGGTGATGTCATGTGGCGTTATGTGGTGTAGAGGAAACCAGAAGTACATCATGGGGAGCGAGCGAAGGGGGAGCATTGAGCCAAATCCAATTCCGTCACACTTTTTCTCAAGGCCAAAATCTGAAATCGTTGATTTACCCTTGCACATAACGCGCCGCGCCTACAGAAGTAAGTTCAAAAAAAGTTCATTTTTACGATACATCGCATGTCGAGACCCGACCCAATAGGTTCATTCAAGTAATGTCGATACCACTGATACAGGAACGAACGCTAAAGAAGAACACACCTATATTTTGATGAAGCGCCACCATCGACGGAAAGCTAAGGCAAACTGCCGAGGACCGAAAAGAGTTCACAGAGTCGAAGAGCTGCTCCGGACACTGACCCGTTCTTTCCGAGGGAGTCCGCCATTGTTGGCGCATGTTCATATCTGACGAGGACCACCGCAATCGGAAAACATCCAAGATGGTACGTAGCCTGGTTGCTCGGGCCGTGTGCACTTCAAGTTTCAGTTACCCAGGCCACTCGTTGGCCCCGGTATTTCGGTGCTCGGAGCCTCAGCTTGCCTAGGAAACCGCGCCAGACGCTCCGATTGCTTTTGATTGCGCAACTTGCTGCAAGGCTCCGGGCCCAATCCTCGTCTGCATCGCCGTCGTCTCCTAGCCTTGGGTCCTACGTCGTCCTCTTGGCTCGCCAGCACCCGGACCCGTAAGCCGTGACCACCACTGCATCCATTCTCAAAGGATATCTTCCAGATGTCTCCCAGCAGCTGCTGGTGGTACGGCTCGCGGACTCCGAGTCCTGCACGCACGACGGAGGACCGCAAGGCACGAAACAGCTACCTACGTGCAGGCCTCAAATGTTTCCCCGTATCCTCGGGCAGCAGACCATCTGCGAAACATTCCCCGACAAAAAGTAGCACGTGTTGGTGGCAGATGGTTGCGAGGCATAGAGACGGCCAAAGGCTCGCGTGGTGCCCCGAGAGGTTAAAACCGCCCAACGGAGAGAGTAACCGTTATAGGTGACGGCTGTAGCCCCGTGTCCCCGCTCGCGCAATGTCCTTCGCGAAACGAATGCATCGTGCTCATCAGCTGATTTGTCTGGTTCCCAGGTGAACTTCACGGTAGACGAGATCCGTGGCATGATGGACAAAAAGAGGAACATCAGGAATATGTCCGTCATCGCGCACGTGGATCACGGAAAGTCAACACTGACCGACTCCCTAGTATCCAAGGCGGGCATCATCGCTGGAGCCAAAGCCGGAGAAACGCGCTTCACGGATACCCGTAAAGACGAGCAGGATCGATGCATTACGATCAAATCCACGTGAGTAGCTTCATTGATATCTCATTATCTACAAGCGTCAGTTAGCTTAATCGCTGCCTAACAGCTGTGTGTCAAATTAACGATGCTCCCACTCTCTTCAGGGCTATTTCCATGTTCTTCGAGCTCGACCCAAAAGACTTGGTCTTTATTAATAACCCCGATCAGCGCGATAAAGAAGAGAAAGGTTTTTTGATAAATCTTATTGACTCTCCTGGGCACGTCGATTTCTCCAGTGAAGTCACTGCTGCTCTTCGTGTCACCGATGGAGCCCTTGTTGTTGTTGATTGTGTTTCTGGTAAGTAAAATTTTACCACATTGAATTGTCAAAATCTTATCTCATGTAAATCTTTATTTTCTTCAAAGAAGTAGTAATGATTCGCTTTCGAACCTCTTATTTACACACTAATTTTGTTCTTTTCATTTACAGGTGTGTGTGTACAGACTGAAACTGTTTTGCGCCAAGCTATTGCAGAGCGTATCAAGCCTGTATTGTTTATGAACAAAATGGATCGTGCTCTGTTGGAACTTCAACTAGAAAGTGAAGATCTCTACCAAACTTTCCAGCGTATTGTTGAAAATGTAAATGTTATTATTGCCACTTACTCTGATGACGATGGTCCCATGGGTGAAGTTCGTGTAAGTTTCTTAGTCAAAACTTTTATTACAGCCCTCCAATGTTAACATGATGATTGTTCTTCACAGACCTGTTCTGAAAATATTTGAAAGACATAAAGAACGGCCAACTGATTTAATTGCTCCTTAATTATTTTTAACCTTTATTTACAATTCAAATGAGTAACATACATTGAACTTTACAACAGGTTGACCCAAGCAAAGGATCTGTTGGTTTCGGGTCGGGACTTCACGGATGGGCTTTTACTTTGAAGCAGTTCTCTGAAATGTATGCTGAAAAGTTTGGCATCGACGTTGTCAAGCTAATGAACCGGCTGTGGGGTGAATCCTTTTTCAACCCTAAAACAAAGAAATGGAGCAAACAAAAGGAGCCTGACAACAAGCGCTCATTCTGCATGTATGTGTTGGATCCTATTTATAAGGTAAGATGTCGAGTGCCAAAATATGCCTCCTTAAAAATTCAATTCTTCCGGCACATTCGAGTTATTCTGTAGCGTGAGAGTGATTTCATTTAATGCAACCATTAGCGTGTTAGGGCAGAACAGTGCACTTATGGAAGAAGATTGAAAATCAAGCGCCTGCGTTTATCGCTATCAGAAAGCCTCTATCCTTATGTCTGACAATGATAATACCACGACGTGGAAGCTACATTTACTGTCATGACCCATTCGATCTTATATCTTATAATTAATAAAATCACATCATTGAAAATTTTAACTTAAGTAGTGCTGAAAATGATAGTAATAATCTTATGATTTTCAACAGGTCTTTGACTGCATCATGAATTACAAAAAAGACGAGTGTGAAAGTCTTCTGAACAAATTAGGAATCGTTCTTAAACCCGAGGACAAGGACAAGGATGGCAAAGCCCTTCTCAAGGTAAAAAACATATTTTTGTTTGTTCATATTTACGAAGCATGTTTCACACTCAAAATGATGATTGTTCTAAAACATTTCTGACACCTCTTCTGAATAATAATGAGGGAATACATGAACCATTCTGAAAATCTTTTTCTCACACTAAATATCCAAATAATTGAGTGTTGGGTCGTACTTAAACAACTTATTTTTTATAGGTTGTCATGCGAACATGGCTGCCTGCTGGTGAAGCATTGCTTCAGATGATAGCCATTCATTTACCATCTCCCGTCACAGCTCAAAAGTACAGAATGGAAATGTTGTACGAAGGGCCTCATGACGACGAAGCTGCCCTTGGTATCAAGGCAAGTTTATTGAATAATTGACCGATTGTTTTTTTTTTTTTTTTTTTTTTTTGTGTTTTCGAAATTACAATTTTTACATTCTCTTTAGCAATTTTAGTATTTGTATGATGATTGTTCTTCACAGACCTGTTCTGAAAAGATTTGATAGACGAATAGAACGGCCAACTGACGATTTAATTGAATAAATTTTTTTTTTTAATGTTATTTTGAATATACTAAACAATTTACACGTGTTATTACAGAATTGTGACCCAGAGGCACCCCTCATGATGTACGTATCAAAAATGGTACCGACATCTGACAAAGGTCGTTTCTACGCTTTTGGTCGTGTTTTTTCGGGCAAGGTGTCGACCGGTATGAAGGCCCGCATCATGGGACCTAATTACCAACCTGGAAAGAAAGAAGACTTGTATGAAAAGGCTATCCAGCGTACCATTCTTATGATGGGACGTTACGTAGAAGCCATCGAAGATGTTCCCTCAGGTGTGTTGTACTTGAACTTGGATATTGCATAAAAAAAATAAATCTTTTATGATGATCACACACAGACCTGTACAGAAAATACATGTTTGAAAATTTTATAAACTGATTTTTTCCTAATTATCAAGAATGTTACCACTTTATGGTTAAACAAAGCTAACAGAGTTTTTTTTTAAATTCAAGGTAACATTTGTGGTCTTGTCGGCGTTGATCAGTTTTTGGTGAAAACTGGAACCATCACTACCTTCAAGGAGGCTCACAACATGAAAGTTATGAAGTTTTCTGTCTCCCCTGTCGTGCGTGTCGCTGTCGAGCCCAAAAACCCTGCTGATCTACCAAAATTGGTAGAAGGTATGTATTATTGCAAATCATCTAAGTTGCACCTTGTAATTCACTCTCACATGATGATAAAAGCACTGGGTTATGAAACACTGTGATTATCGTTGACAACCTGATTAATTCTCATATCAACACAGCTTGCAGGCTTACACACTATAAAATGTTGATAAAAATTGACTTTGCTTTAAGGTCTAAAACGTCTGGCCAAATCCGATCCCATGGTACAATGTATCAACGAAGAGTCTGGTGAGCACATAATCGCTGGTGCCGGTGAGCTACATCTTGAGATTTGTTTAAAGGATCTAGAAGAGGACCACGCTTGCATCCCCATAAAAAAATCTGATCCTGTCGTATCGTACAGAGAAACCGTTTCAGAAGAGTCCGACCAAATGTGTCTGTCGAAATCCCCCAACAAGCACAATCGTCTCTTTATGAAGGCCCAGCCGATGCCTGATGGCCTTGCCGAAGACATTGACAAAGGCGATGTCAACCCAAGAGACGACTTCAAAGCACGTGCCCGTTACCTCAGTGACAAGTACGATTACGACGTGACGGAAGCTAGAAAGATCTGGTGCTTCGGTCCCGACGGCACTGGCCCCAACATCCTCGTTGACTGTACCAAGGGAGTGCAATACCTCAATGAAATCAAGGATTCTGTCGTTGCTGGCTTCCAGTGGGCCGCCAAAGAAGGTGTTCTTTCCGAAGAAAACTTGCGAGGCGTGCGCTTCAACATTTACGACGTTACGTTACACGCCGACGCCATTCACAGAGGTGGCGGCCAGATCATCCCTACGACGAGACGTTGTCTTTATGCCTGTCTTCTCACTGCCTCACCAAGACTCATGGAACCCGTGTACCTTTGCGAAATCCAGGTAAGTTTTCTTTGTACAACGTAATGTCTTGACCCTTTTGGCATGCTCGCGTAACTCTGTATCGTTGCCGCATTTTCTTTAAATGGTGGCACGCAAATACAGTGGAACAGTGCACAACAAAAGGATATCTAAAATCAAGCGCCTACGTTTATATCATTGGGCCTCTATCCTTATGCCTGATAATGATATGGCCACGACGTGGAAGCTACCATACTATATATACAACTTCACCAACCACATTCACTTTTAAACGTAACATATTGCATTTCTCATCGACAGTGTCCTGAAGTCGCCGTTGGTGGTATCTATGGTGTACTGAATCGCAGACGTGGTCACGTCTTCGAAGAACTCCAGGTGGCTGGTACTCCTATGTTCGTCGTCAAAGCATTTTTACCCGTCAACGAGTCCTTTGGTTTCACTGCCGACCTTCGATCTAACACTGGCGGTCAAGCCTTCCCACAGTGCGTCTTTGATCATTGGCAAGTCCTCCCAGGAGATCCATTCGAGTCCGGCAGCCGTCCATTCACAGTTGTGCAGGTAATTGATACTCTTTTTTTTGTTACTGAGATTCTGTGTAATCTTATCTCATCCACGTTCATAACTGATGACTGCGACTCCACTATAGTCCAGTCATTTTTAATTTCGTGGTAAATAAAATAGTTTTTTTGAGTTTTGGCTTTCCAGGGCTTATCTGGTCTGCTAGAATAGGGAAACAGACAGCATAATTTTACGAGTTACATCAAATTCAATCTGAATACAATCTACTTGTTATTTTGATGTTTAATGTAATTATTTTCTGTTGTAGGAGACCCGCAAGCGGAAGGGATTGAAAGAAGGCGTGCCAGATTTGTCGCAGTACCTTGACAAATTGTAACCATTTTTAATGGACTCATATTTAATTAATTTTAATATTGTAATTCAATTATTATCGCTGGAGCAATATACGTCTCTACCATCGGTCGTTATGACACTTCGTTTCTCCGCGCACCAACAATGTAATTACCGCAAGGCTGAAGAAAAGGAAGAAACTTGTACTTTACAGCTCGGGGAACACAATTTTATACATTTATTTCATTAAAGATGATCAAACTGAAAGCTGTCAATGGCTTTTGTTTTAGAAAAAAATACAAAATGATTCATTGAAATTATTGTTATACTACAGTTTTAAATATCCCTTTCGTTTTATACTGTTTACATTATGTTATGTTGCCTTGTTGCATTTTTCCAAGTGACTGATATATTGGGTAAATAACCGATCCTATAGTAATAAAATTAAAATATCTTTTCAAAATCTATAAGAATTTTATAAAATGTGTTATTTATTTCAAACATTGAATTAAAGCATAATTTACAGTTAATTCCCTTTTTACGTTGGCATCTAATTCATTTTTTAACAGAATCTTCAATTCTTGCAACCTAATTAATCTTGACTTGACACTTGGCAACATCGTAAAAAAAAAAAACATTTTGCATAATTATTTCGAAAAATTTGATGATTTAAGATCTTGGAGCGCGAATGTATTTCAAAAAATTCATTTGAGAAATGTAGTGGGATAGTAAGATATTTTATTGAATGTTGCATGGGAACAGCTTTTTAAACTATATATTCATATTTTTCTCATACACAGCTTTTTATTCTTTCTAAATTACAATAATAGAACTTTTGTTTCAATCATAAGTTAAACTTTAATGTCTATATGTTTATAAACTTCACAAAAGTTTACATATAAAATTTTTTTCACTTCTCTTAACGTCTAGAGCAATATTTACAATCTAGAAAATTTTAATTGAAACATTAAAAAATATGTAAACATTAGATTATATTCAGGTATCCATAAAATATTTCTTTTTTCCAGTAAAAACAATTATATTTGTTAACATAAGAATCAGTGTTACTCAATGGGCTGTATTCTATTTTTATACAATCCTGCTAGCGACTGAGCAGCCAAAAATATAATATCCTTCCTCGAAACACCTGTCAGTGCGCCGTGCCACTCTGAATGAGGAACCTGCAAAACGAACAAACAACACGATATAGGTAATCGTAACGAAAATTCAAAATAATATGCTACAGTTATCATTTAAGCATTTTTAAGTACATTTATTTTTAATTTTTCACATAAAAATACTTTGTCCTAAAAATCAATTTCAATGGATTTTATTAAAAAAGATTTTTTTTTTTTTTTTTTGATAGAATTATGTAACAATACACAGTTTCTGTAAGTATTTAATTATAATCGTGCATTTAGTTTTTGATGAAAAAATTTCTTTTGTCTGGCAAAATTAGATGTGCACCACCCTTCTCTAACAAACGGTACCTATCTCATGAAAGCAGCTCTTACTCTGAAATATTTTTAGTAATAAAACTAAATTTTATACTTTAAAAAGTTTCAGAAATTATTGGTTAGTTGTCAAAAAAATTGTGCAATTCTTCCCAGAAAGAATTTGAGTCGTAAAATCCTCTCATTTACTGAAAATATAAACTGCCTTACCAGCAGAGTAACTTTCATAACCGAAACGGTTTGAACAAATCTCGTCTTTAAACGTAAAAGTAAAATGGCAACGAAAGCTATAACACACTCAATCGCTTAACTATAAGTAATAAACATTTGTTTCTATTTTACGGTTATTTCTAATAAAATAGCCTATGCGTTTGACTACGAATTCAAATGCATTTTATTCAACGAATTAACTACCTCGAGGGCAAAGCACTTTAATAAACATCGTTTATTACAATTGAAAAAAAAACGCTGTTCTTTTCAGACCCGATTTCCCATTGATTACATATTAGAGAAAAGGTTGACGGCGACCGTTGACGATGTAGCATCATTTATAATACAGCAAGAGTTTTCTAAATGTTTCTAGAAGGTTGTAGTGGAATTAATTGTAACGACTTTGGCAGTAATTTTTATGGCTTCCAGCTGTACGCACTTTTAAAGTCTCGATAAAAAGTATGACTTTAAAAAGACTTCTGTAGTCGTTCGGAAAAGTTGCCTTCAAGAGTGAAGTGCAGTCCCTCGATAAAATGCGTAGAAAATACTGCAGCTCTGCCGTGAAATTTCGTGTAGCCGCAGTTCGAAGTAATCAATCAGCTGTCTACTGTTAACTTTAATATGCTAACGATTTCAAATTTTCTGTTATAAATAACAATAAAAAATTTAATTACAGTAAGCAACATTTGTAATTGCGCGTCAAAAAATCAAAATTGCCCTCAAGCGCTAACTCGGAGAAGTTTTTTTTTCTTTATATTTTGTAGTGACAGTATTGTCCATTTTATTTTATTGATAAGCAAAAATTAAATTTTAATCATCGCATCAGTTGTAGGGATGGACGATCAAGGATTTATTCGAGTAAGCTAGCGGTTGATTGGGGCTAAGAAAAAATAAAGGATAAGTTAAAGTAAGAAAATAACTGTCCGCTCTGATGATTAAATCTTTCGTTCACTCCTGCAATTGATTATTCATTTGGTGATTAAAAATATATAACAAAACCGACATTATCGACATAAGAAAATTGAATTCTTTGACCAAGACATCTGTATAAATGAATGAAAAAATTTAAAATTGAATCCGCGAGATTTTCTTCAGTGCCTGATCTCATGAAAGTTTTAAATTTCAAGTTGCGACGCCGAAGTCAGCATGCAAATATACTTGAAATATCTTTAGATCCAGCCAACAAAACTCTACCAAATTTTACAAGGAATTATAATAACATTTTTTACTAAGTAACATAACCAATTTTTTATCAACTTTTTATTATCAGATATATTTTAAACTTATAGTTTCAAAATTCTTGTTTGGAACTATCCGTAAGATCGAGGGGCTGCGAACTCTTGAAGTCATTAAAAAAGACTGCGAAAGCCATTCGAAGGCTTTCAAAGACTGTAAAAAGAGACTTTAAAAGTACGTAGCCCCTCGATATTTTGACAAATTTTTTTCTTAGCTCTGAATAAATAAATCAATCTGAAATCGGGTCATATTATAAGTGGTCGCATAAAAATTGTGCCCAAGCGGCAATAATTTTGTTTGATAAGTTGGTAATAATTATTTTTAAAAAATAGTAGGAGATACAAAAAAATAATAACAGTTTTTAATGTCTAGATTTGAGACAAGTAATAA